TTCAGAATTTTCCACTTTCACCTGGGAATATTCCAGTTTCACCTGTCAATAYTCCAGTTTTGAATATTCCACTTTCACCTGTCAATATTCCATCTCCTGAGTGGCTGAGCAAACATTTCCCCTCCAGTTGGGTCTTTCCTGGCTTTGCTCCCATTTATTTAACAACTCCCTCCAAATCCTCACTTGAATTCCACAACTTTCAAGTCTTGCCCAGAAGGAAAATATCAGCAGCTCCGGGTTTCCAGGAAGCAGAAGTGCTTGGTGCCTCTCCGTGGGCCTGATTATTTTCCTAAGACTTGTGCTAATTTTCTGATATGATCCCCACCTCTTTGTGAGGCACTAAATCCTCATTACTTTTCCTGACCGATGCATTCTAATTAGATCAACACTTAAAAAAAAAAAAAAAAAAAAAAAAAAAAGGAAGGAAGGAGGAGAGAAAAAAAAAAAAAATCACAATAGCCACAGGACGGCTTTCCATCTCATTAACTCCCTCACTTATTATTTTCATGAAAATTACTGATAAAAAACGTGCATCTCCATTTGCTGGGACCGGCAGCTTTGTCGGCTCATATCTAACATCTCTCTCATCACCCGGGATGTGAGCTGTTGCCATGGCAATGCACAATAATAGAAACTAATAAATTACAAACGAGATGCTCGTTGAGCAATTATTGTTCTCTTTTATGCAAGTGTCTTGCTAATTTTGATCATAAGGAATGCGACCATAAAGCAGCCGAGGGATAATAAGTCTATTTCTAGAGATTATTAGAATGTGGAGTGAGGATGGGGTTTCTTAGATCAATGATTAAGTGGTTTGGTGCTTTCAGGGAACCCAAATAAGAAATGGAACTTTTCCGGGGGGTTTTTCCCTCATCGTGTTGGGAGCTTCAAACTCTGMAGCACYTGGAGCTGAGCTCYRAAAAAATKWTTTYTTTKCCTCTCCACCACCTTAAAAATACTCCAAAAATCCTAAGAAGGCCCCATCACCTTCCTCCTTTTTAAGGACAACCCCAGGAACTGCCTGGGTCATTTTGGGTTGGCTGCTGTTATTTCTGGCGGGACTGTGCAACCCTAAATCCCATTTTTCTACCCCAAAAAAACGAATGGCTAAGAGACAGAAATCCCCTAGGGGGACACAACACAGCATCAAGATTTTTRGGATGCAACCAGCCAAGATTTATTCCCTGCACTGCAGATGAAAACCCCAAACCAGGGGCAACTTCTTTTCTGAATACTGAGTTACAATCCCTTATTTTGCCCCAAAAGCCACCAAGGTTCAACTTGGTTTGGCTGCTTCACTTGACATTTCTGCAATCCTCAGGCATTTCCTTGTACTCTTCCACTGTGCTTGAGGCACCAAATGTCTTCTTCTCCCAGYTAAAATCCAAATTATGCAAAAGAATAAGTCAAGGGAATGTTGATCGTGTTGGGGGAGAACTGCAAGAGCTGCTGAGACACAAAAAAGGAGCAGCAAAGGCAGAAAGGGTTATCTGAGACCCAAAAATCTGTTCAGCTGCCTTGGAACAAAAAGGGAGAGATAAGGATTGAAGAAAATCGTGATGTTTCTGCCCTTCCTGCCAATAAATAGCATTTTTTCATGAAAAAATGCAATTTTCCTGTTTATGTATATATTCCCTTCTCCTCACATTTAATTCTCCAACATTAGGGTTTAGGAGTCCTTCACTTTCTCTTTTGCAGAACCACAAACATTGGGGTGGCAGCTCCTCCTACCCATGAAAAAAAAAGGGCATAAAAAATTTAAAACAAAGGGAAAAAA